AGTTGTTAAACTAAAACTGTTGTTAAAATATACATATTTTGTTGAGAAAAATTGCTTATTATATAAATTACATACGTTTATGTTAATACATTTTCGTTATTAGTATACAAAATGCTAAAAGATTTATGTTTTCTCTAAAAAATTGTTTTTCGTTAAAATTATTTATATAAAAACTAAAAGCAATTAATTGAGATTTTTGTTAAAAATACTGAATACTGTATACAATTCAAGAAAACCAAAAGTATTGATTAGCAAAACTGGTTAACCACATACATACACTTGAAAGTTATTTACCATAACTTATGGTCCATAAGACAGGTAGTATACGCTGTAATATTTCATCCAAAACTTGTATATAATTATCGTCTATTAAAACAAATATAAATTAGTTTGCATTTAAAAATCTATTCATACTTTCATCGCTTAATAAATTCATGAGTGGTTTAAACATATTTGCTAGAAAAATATACCAACATCAACTACATATTTAGTATTAAGTTATAGTAAATTATTATTCATAAGATAAATGGTGTGTTTCAATGGGTGGCAAAAATGCGGATCTTATGGATACAAAATTTGTATTCATTTGTATTACAAATATACAGTACAGGTATTAGGGCTGCCAAACGTCCTTTTGGAGGATTGTCCTCCAATGGGCCCCTCAAAAAACAGTTCTCCCGAGGGTCTCAAGAGGACAATGTAATGTCCCCCCAGAGATAATTGTCAAAATAATGCAAATATTTTTGTTAATTTTCAATTACTTTCCGAAATTCATGAAAATAATCAGCGAGTTTGTAATCATTCATTATACAATTTATGAAATAATTGTTAGGACAACAAGTAGTGTATTGGATTAGAATTGTTATTAGGCTTAAATTATAGTGTAGATATTAGGAGTAAAAATTTATAGCAATATTAATAAGTAGACATTTTAATAATTTTGTCTTCCCAGGCCACGAAAATAGTTGGCAGCCCTAACATGTATAGATACAGTAAATCATTGGTATATAAAGAGGTCAATGCCGATAAAAAACACTAGAATTTCGGACACAAAAAATTTCCCTAAAAGTTTTATATATTTGAAAATGTGTCCTTGTGTAATAAACTATAATATTTATATTAACTAAATATTCACCATAAAAAAGGTAAGTAATGTAAGAGCAATACAGAATTTATTGTATTAACTAGTATAGATATATACGCTAATATTTTTAATCTTTGAATAAATAATAATCTAATTTACATAACATATGAGCAAATGCTTTCATAATAAGCTTTCATACAATGCTAACTAAACCTGTTTATTGTACAATAGTTTTTATTTTCAAATGTATAACAGAAATTGTCAGTTGAATAAAATATGATAACTACTAAAATATCCTATGGTTACAATGACTAGTATTATGTCAAGTAGTCTGAGAATACTTTTGAGTCAATTACTTTACCATGTGTTTAATAATTTGTAAATATTGCAAAAGCTTAATACAGTATGAAGTTAATTAGGCATTCAACATAAGTCCACCCATAATAAGCTACTATTGTTATAATTGCAATTAGTTTTACCGGACTTTTAAGTGCGAATCCTTTTCCTATGAATCCTAATGAATATGAAATTTATTTAAACTAAGACCTAATATGTATGAAGTGTCGGAAGTGTTGGACATTAATTAAAGTAAAATAAACAGCATTTGAAACATTGAAGACTTATTTCAGTTGTCTATATAATGTACAAACGTACTATATATGCAAACAATTAATAAATGATTTGAAGTCATAAATATTTAGATATGAACTTGGTTTTTGGTTCACAATTTGTTGCTTTAATATAATTTTATGTCAAATATATACAGTGCATAGCCATTATATATTAATAAGCCAGAAAGTTTAAAATAATTATGTTTAGCAAATGAATGAACAAATGTGAAATAATTATTTAAAAATATACAGCTAAATCTCATAATAAAATATTGTAATTTTACAATATAATTGACAATCTATTATTATCTCAGTTGCTTAATATAATTTGTGTCATTATTCATTTTTATTAATATAATTTTTGCTTTATGTCTAAAATTAAAACAATTTTAAGCTAAAAGTTTTATAATAGAGTATAATTGCATTACATAGGATTTTTAAATCATAAAATTATAACTCCTATAAAATTAACTATAGTAATGATATTTAAAATGAGATTTCACAAGAAGTTTATAAATTTAAATAAAAATGATTTCATTTTAATAGACATACATTTTAATAAATATAAATAAAATCAGAAGTATAGACAATAATTATCTCAAGTCTGGGTCTAAATGTGTTTATCAGATGAGACTCTAATGGAGTCATAAGTAGTGAAATGTTTGACATCGGACTCATCGGTGGTCGAGAGAAACGGTTTCGATGTCTTAGTCTCTGAATTATATGCCATTGAAAACGACGATTCAGTTTCCGGTTTCTTGTCGGAGGCGCTCAACCTATTGGTGCCGTTAGAGCCGTACAAACGCTGTCTTTGACCTAAAAAACAACAAAAAAAGTTCAAAACCAAACTCATGGTAAATAGCGGACAATGAATACCTCGGTATTTCTTAAGCGTACCGGACGTACAGAATTGGATCCACGCGTTGCGGGCCTCTGGGAACCGGACCACTCGGAACACAAATATGAGAAACCCTTGCAATGAATTAGTCACACAAAACATGTACTGAAAAAAGAGTTTCATTTGGCCGATGGCGAGGGCGCCGAATATCCACGAAACGCCTAACAGTGCCATTAGGGTGAGTGCGCCCCACACCTGGGACATCGTAACCGCACCTAATCAATACAAGTGAATACAGGTGATAATCAGGTACATTTTAAAAGTAGATTATGATTATTACCGGATTTGATAGACGCTGTCGATGCGAGTCGGGGCGTAAAGAGCACTCGTATGGCTAATACAAACACCGATGCGTTTAGGATGATAAGTATGGACGCCGGCATTAAGTACGAGATATAGTAGACGTCCGCCTGTCGAGGTGATACCATACAACTGGTCCGCAAATAAAAACCAATTCATTCATTAGTACGTAAAATATTGATGAAAATTAAATATAAAACTCATACAAATCATTGTCATTGCGATAGGCGATGGGCTTCACAAACGCTGTGATCATAACCCAAATAAACGGCAAACCTATCCAAACAAACGGAAAGCATAAACAGAATTACTGGTGAAATGCAAACACAAATGTGACATCAAGTGATTGGACTGTCCACTGACCCCAAGCTAACAGCGCTCTCTTAAGCATGAATCTGGTCTCAGACGTGGCGAACACATAGACCAGGAGCTGGTAGATGTGAACGGCCTCCACAAACATCCAGCACAGGGATGTCAACACGAAGTAGTGTATTGTGAACGCCGTGAACGCACACCAATTGTTTGACTCAAATATTAGGCTTTGAGAGCCAATCAGAAACATAGCGTTCAATAAAAGTAATGACAGACACAGATTGATCAGGATCTTTCCAGAATTGTCGCGATTCAGACACCTATTACACACAGAATTGAGAGAATTTTTGTGAAATGTTTACAAGAATTGACAGATTTTTAATAAAATTCTTATTGAATACCGGAATAAGGAATATGTGATTAGCGTTAGAATGAGTCCACATATGGATAGATAGCAACCGATTGATGTGATTATCGATAAGACGGTCTCATTTGTGGTCTCATATGGAGTCAAATCAAAGAGCACTGAGAATGCCGTCAAATGTGATGAGAGACACGTAATCGACATATTCGTCACATTTACTACAGTTTTAATGCCATTTGTGGACCAATTTCGATGCATCTCATCCCAGAAAACACATTTGGCCGACAAATAGTCGCTGGCATTGCAGTCATTACACGACAACACTATAGAGACCGGTGTCCGGAGTCTATCTATCGTCACGTTTGCCACAATCGCTTCAATTACAGGCATCTCTTTGCGGGAGATTTCGTTGGCATTTGTTTGCGCCGATTTGAATAGCTTTTGATTTTTATGTGCGATAAACTGCACCCTTACTGTAGTCGAGTTAATTTGTTTCATAGCCTTTCTCATAGCTTCTGGTGGCAAATTAATTTCTGTCTACAAAGTAATCATTTTTTTAAAACAAGGGATTTATATTTTCATTTCTATGCAAATCGTGTTTAATGGAAATCATTTGTTATTATTATAAATACCTTTTGTGTCAAACCTTGCGATTCATTGAAAGCTTTTCTAAATATGGGCTTAAATGAGATGTCATTGTTTGCATCAGAATCCGAGACATTCATAGCTTTTGTGGCAAAGTTTTTGTTGGAAGTGATGAACACTTCGCTGGCATTCATCGGAGTTTCAGATAATATGAGTTCGAGTATAGATTTGCTATCAATTAGAAAGTTTTCATGAAAACAATACCAGTAAACCATAAAACTAAATAAACAAACTTACAAATCTGTAATCTCGTTAACTTCTGAACTATCACCAGATATATAGTCGTCGAGGGCTGACAGAGCCTGTGCCGCTATCTTAGTGTTGGTGATCACGTCGTGGACAATATCCCTCACTTTCAGATCCAATACTGATATCGATGTCGTACTCAACGTCTGTTCCGTTGTTGTCGTTTGAGCCTAATTTCAAACATATTTCAAATTACCAGGGTACAATTATGAAAATTATAATATCTTAAACTAGAATACCTTTTCCTGACACCGACTGTCATCAATGGGAGACCAATAAGTAGTTCCATTGGGTTGTAGTAAACAACTACGAGCGGCACTGGTAGTAGAGTCATGAGGACAGGGCTGAAGATCTTTCTCATTGAATCCAATCTCATTCCATACAAAGTGTCCCCTTTTGGTCACCGTTTGCTCGGATTTACATTTGACTACATATTTGTAAACAATTATAACTTATATCAAACTTTCAATTTAATTCAGTAATTACTTTTAGTTTCGCATACGGGTCCCTGAAATCCATGTTTGCACACACATTTATGATTGCTATTATCGGTATGAATACAGGTGCCACCGTGTTTGCAATCAAGTGGACAGGTGTTGTGGCAATCATATTTGCCGAGTATGCCGTGCGGACATATACAAAGGCCATCGGAGACCTTGCAATCTGGATCAGGTCCACACTTACAGTTGTCACTAATCTTAAACTTATAAAGTTGTTGACTAGAAGGACCCAGCTCACTCCCTGTCCACGCACTTATTTCAATTTTATACATATGATTTTGCTTTATATCCAGTAATTTATAGCATTCGAGTCTTAAATATAGAAAAATTAAAAATAATTAAAAATTATATGTATGCTTAAAGTTTTCAAAGTTATTAGTTTGCAAAAATAATAATGCGAAAACATTTACCCCTGTATTTGTATACATTGTAAATTCTCTGTACAGTATATTAATAGTATTATAGAGTAGGACTCATAAATTATTCTCTCTGTATACTAATTCATATAAAATTTTAAAAATAAGCTTAATGATATAATTAATGTACTTGTTATTATTTTGTGAAGTGATATTGACATTATATTTAGTTGATCCACCAACTTCTGTATACGATATAATGAATCCATCGACGTATTGTGAATCAGACATTTGCCAACATATCTCAGTTCTTGAGTCTTTCAAACCAATTGACTTGATAGTGGGCACTAGTATTACATATTACACAATTAGCAAGCTACACCTAGTATTTAATTGCCATTTGTTAATTACTGGTTACCTGAGAGCTGTTCATAAATTGAAATAAAAACTTTCGTAGTGTTGTATCCAAGTGGAGATCCCGTATCCGTCGCCATAATCTCGAAATCATAGCTCAACTCTTGTCTGGCATTCAACGAGTCGTTTGTTACCAATTGTCCGGAACTGGCGTTTATAGCAAACGGCAGATTAAACTTATGGATCGGAATAATTGTGTAATAAATCCGCGAATTATATGATTCAATGTCTTCGTCGACGGCATTCACGTGAAGTACAGTTGTGCCGATTGGCGACAAATGATGGATACATTTCGTGTAGTTTTTGTGCGCAAACTTTGGCCCAAATCTGTTGTATTTACTCACTATTATCGTCAAACGGGTCGCGTTTTCTATCTTTTCATACGATGTCAGCCCAACCGCTCGCACTGTTATCTGATATTAAAGTTTTTCATTTATAAGCTATTTCTTAAATGTACCTGGTATACCATCAATTATATTATACCATCTATTAAAATCATATATTAATAATTGATATATATATATATAGTATATAAATAATTAAAATGAAATGAGTTCAACTATTGTTACTTGTATCGCATTTTTTTATCGATTTTGCATTACTACACAGTATAATGTCCAGAATCCAAACACCAGATATTAATTATTCTTGTTTATCAAGCTACTTTACATTAGGAATTTTAATTGTATTTAATAGATGTGTTTTTATGAGCAAAACTCTAGTCCTTTGCATATCTTAAGTGGTGTCAAAAAACGAGAAATAATTAATTATTGTTTAGTTAAGTATTATATTTACAGCAAAAAACTTATTTTTCAAATCGTTTTGTGCTGAGACTAACATTTGTATAAAACCGCTATATATCACGGTTTAAAACAGAAACATTATATTTAAACAAAACTCGCGATTAAATAAATAAACAATTATTTTAATGCCTTTCGCCGGGAATTTAGTGCCAAAAAATCTTTGTATTTAGCCCTTAATGACTGCGATTTGCGTATAAATTGAATTAATATTTTAAAAGATTAATCAAAATATAAGAGATCGTGTATGACGTCGACGAGTGCTAACAAAAACAATTCAAAACTATTTGCTATTTTTGTTATACAATATATTATTTCTATGGTATACTTGAACTCCAATTTAACTGTATTTATAAATGTAATGCAAATTTCTAGTGTTAATCGGCGGACATACGTGTCAACACATGTGCACAGCTATGGTCTAAAAATAATGGTTTATCTCAAGAATTCAATTAGAAATGCAAATATAGTTTCTCATAAAAATGCGATAAAACTCGAGTGTTTATACATAAAAACTAATTTTATTATTAGTTTAATGTTTCATAAAAACTTTTATAACAAAAAAGTTGGACTAACTTTATAAGACTCTTGAATACTTTTTTCAATCTTGCGATTTGTGGTCACAATACCGGAGTATTTATCGACCGCAAAGTATTGGTGATCATCAATATCATCTAGCATATAACTAATGCCCTGGTTGCCGCCGATATTAGGCTCAAAATATGCGCTAATGGCCACCACATGTACTCCCATACCGGCCCCTTCATAGATTCTGGCCTCATATGGAAGTGGTTGAAAATTAAGTCCAAATCCTGTCAATCATGAGACACACGTTAAAACAATAGACCACTAGAATAAAGCTATTATTAAATATAGAGTTCACTCGAAAACATGATTTTATGATTATTTGGGAGGAGATGATTGAGACAAAAGTGTATGTATTTTGTGTAAATTTATTATTAATAAACTAGTGATGGGTTTGTTGTATAGACATGTATTGCGATAAATAGAGACCTCGCCCTTCAATTCAATCACTGGATCCTAAGTTTGATTTTTTATGCGATTCTGTGTTTTCAGATTATAAATACATTTTGTATGTATCTATCAAAACAATAAATATATTATTTAAAAGTTATATAACAAACGTAAATCCCTTAAGACTTTATTGTCTCTCAAAAATGCTATTTCATACATGATTTTCATATTAAGCACAATTAATTAAAATATTTGCTTTATTTAGACTGTATTTAGATTTCTTGACAAACACTCACACTTTTCAAACAATAGCTGTTTTTGTATTATAGTCTCAATTATAGCTCTCATTCTTATGACTAAAACAGATGTTAAGGGCTTTTGGTGAACAGAATTTGCATTGAAATCAAGAATTTTAATAAATATTTCTCTTATTTGTATTATAAATACTATAAACAATGAGTTCAAACCGCACAAAATGAAAACATTTTTACAGCGAAATGTATTTATATTTAGAGATAAAAATAGATAAAAATGAATCTAATCGCCAAATAAATGTGCGATTACGTTTTTATATGACATTACTATAACAATATGAAATCATAGTGTTTTTAAGTTATAGTACATTTCCATTCAAAAATATTCATGTTTTTATAAATATTAATAAACAACTTTTGAGTGA